GTTTCATCTACACCCAAAATACCATTACTTTTCTCTTAATGTTTTATGTGTACATTTATGATAAGTTTCTGAAGCTTCTTAACACTTTCAATTTTGAAGGCAAGTGATCACTACCAATTCTTTATTCTAATTTCAGCACTCCCAAAAGACAAATACATTAATAAGTCAATTATTATTCCACAGTGATATCTATGGAATGATATCTATATAATATGAGCTCTATCGTTAAGCCAAACATGGTCCTGTCAGTCCCTATGGAACTTACCTAAGCCACTGTTATACACCGTAAGTTTTAAGAAGCAATATATTTACATTTATGTTGTAAATTATATCAGCATTTTAAAGACATAATTTATTATCATTATTATTAATATTACAACAGATGGGCATCATATTACTGCTTTTGATCCACACATAAGAAAATTTGTTTGTCTCCTCCAAGTTTCAATAGTTTAAAATCCAGAGACTGTCAGTAGTGCATATGAGGAATTAGGCACCTAACATTTAACTGTTAATGTTAACGTTAACATTAAAAATATTTTATTCACACAATGGTACAAAATAGACCAAGGAAAATTTTAAAAATATTCCATCATGGTTCCACCTGCAAAAAATACGGCAAGTTTGTACATTGACCAAGTGCAAAAGCAACACATTCACAATTCACATTGATTCAACATTGACACAAGCAAATGGTACCTTGGCACTAGTGTACAAGGGGGAAAGTCAGCTGTGAGCATCGAGAGCTTCAGTACCAAAAATTAAAGTCATAATAAAAGACCTGAATGGATAACCATATTCAGCTGCAAATGTCACAAGTCTCTATATTACATTGGACAATACTAGAGTCATGTGCAAGAAGTGCAGTTGACAGATTAAAATAAGCTTCAGGTGTGTCTACTCACCAGAACATACACTTCAGAAGTATTGGCAAATTAATACGGATTAATACCAAGTCAAAAGTGGAAGTGAAAGTTGAAAGGAGAAATTACAGAAAAAAAGAAGTGACAGTAACATAATAATTAAAGCAGTATTGAGAGAAACAGTGAACAATGAAAATTCATCCAAAATTCAGCATAAGAAATTTTGAACGAAATATGATTTAAGAAATACAGTAAACGGGCCAAGATCAAAAGAAAAAAGAAATGCTAAGGGTAAAATTCCACAACTTTGATGAAAAATTGGCCATGCTATAGAACGAATACAAATTAAAATGGATGATATTTTCATAAAAATTACTTAACAAAACAAGAAAGGGAATTCAAATGGCAATTAGAAGCAAAGCAAAAAAAGAAAGAGAAAAGGAAAATGAAGGAAAGATAGGCTAAATCAAAATACAAGTTAAAGGAAAGTGGGTGTACTGGAATGTTTTTTAAGTCCCAGGAGAATGTTGAATGAAGAAGACTACAAAGATTCAACATAAATATTTATACACTGATTCAGGAAGAAAATTTTTTGTAATGGAAATAAATTCATAATAGCAAGTCTTAATTGCAGAACCTTACAAAACCCAGAAAGAGAATTTGAACTAGAAAAGGCATTGTTGGACATTAAATATGATGTAATTGGTGTATGCGAAATTAGAAAATATGGAGAGGCAATAACTGAAAAACAAAACGGTAACATTTTTTCATACAATGATACTACAAAAGGCCACAGAGAAACAGGATTCATTATGAACAAAAGCATTAAAGAAAACATAAAAGAAATAGTGGACATTAATGATAGAATTGCTACACTAAAAGTGAAATTCAGAAGGAGAACAATTTTAATTATTCAAGTGCATGCTCCAACAGCACAAAGTCCAGAAAAAGAAATGGAGGATCTCTATAACACACATGACAACACACTATATGCAAGTACAGCCAAATTAAAACTACTAATAGAAAATTTTAATACCAAAATCAGAAGGAAAAAATACCCAGATAAAGAGGCAATAGGAAGATTCGGTATAGGACAATGTAATGAAAGAGGTGACAGATTAATCCACTAGCAGAACACGCCATAACATGAAAATTGCTAACACTTTCTTCAAGGGGGAAAAAAGATGGAAGGTGGACATGGATCTCTCCTGGTGAGAGAATTAAGAATGAAATAGATTATATTCTCACCAACAAATGTGAATGTATCCTCAATATTGAAGTTATTGATATTTCGACTCAGATCACAGAATGGTACTGCTAGAGCGGGAGGTTGACAATTTTGGGCCCAAGGCAATGGTGAAACATACCCCTCCCCCGGAAAAAACTATTAAAAATGTGAAAGTTGTATCAATGAACTATATGAGTTATATCATTTGCTTCAACAAATGACAAAAATTACGTTTAAGGTAGAAAAAGTTTTTGCAAATATATTTTAAATAATAGTTTTAAGTAAAAATATTTAGTGATAAAATAATACAATTTCCACAGTGAGCTTAAAACTCTGAAACAATTTTTGTGTTTAGTTTGATTCTAATAAAATAACTTGTTAATACATGAAATAATAAATATGAATTTCAGTAGGACCTATATTAATATTAGCGTCATTTGATTCATTTCAGAGTCTTGCCTAAAAGTAATTACTATAATTAACTATTTAAGGTAAACAATTATCTGAAATTTTTATGAAAAACCAGACTATTACATTGCCACTTATAAAATTATGATAATGATTTTTTCAAGTGCTAATTTCTTTTCAATTTTGTTTAAACTTTTTTTTTCCCCCATCAAACTCATCATCGGTCCCCTTAACTTGCAGGGCCATGGATGATTGTCCAGTCTCCTCATTCCTAGCACTGGCACTGCGCACTGCTAAACATTAAGAAGGTTAAAATATATCATCAAAAGTGCCACCGTAACCAGCCACTCAGAAACATTGACAGAATCATTTACAAATCACAACTTATGAAAAATATTGAATACATTAATAATAACCCACATCAAAATACTCAAGATAAATATAATGCACTTCAAGATTGCCTATTACGAGCAGGTAAAGAAGCAAGCACTTGCACATCATCTAGCAGAAAAAATGAGAGCAAGCTAAGCATAGCAATGCAGAGGCTTTAAGAAAAGAAAAAGAAATTACTACCACATATGACTAACCCAGTTAAGAAATTAGAATATGATATTCTAAATAGAGAAGTAAAAGGGGGAATGGGAAGAGATGTAAGACGATACAATTCAAGATCAAGCAAATAGTAAGTAGTAAAATCAAAGTCAGTAAAGAAGGCAAAGAAAGAAATCTTCACAAACATCACATACTAGGTGTTCCAAAAAAAACAAGGTCAAAAACTTTTCTCGAGATCAGCAAAACAGCCATAGAATTTTATCAAGTGCTCTTCGAAAGTAAGATTGAGCTCAAATTCAAAGAGAAGCACCACATTGAAGAAGAAGTACCAGAAATAATAAGTGATGTGAGATCAGCAATGTTGGATTTAAAAATAAGGTACAACTCCTGGCAAAAATGATATTATAAATGAACAAAAGCTTTCGACACAGTAGAGCTTGTACCTGCATCATGCCTTATAAAGCAAGGGGGCCCTCTCCAATACATTAGACTCTTGAACTTGATATACAAGAACAGCTCAGCAAAGGTGAAGACTGATACTGAAGAAGAGGTATTTAAGATGAAAATGGGAGTCAAACAAGGTGATTTTCAATCATCCAAAATTTTCACTTGTTTGATGGAAGAAAATTTCAGAAAATTAAACTGAGAAGACATTGGTATTTCAATGATTGGAAGACAATTAAACAATCTCAAGTTTGCAGATGACATTGACAAAAAGAAAAGGGCGAATTCAGACCATACACTACAGTGAATGTTAGAAGAGTTACACAATAAAAGTCAATAGGTAGGACTTCAATTTAACTTAAATAAAACAAAAATCATGACTAACCACAAGGAAAATACAATACAAGTAAAAGTAAATCAGATATAGTATGTATCAGAATACATTTATCTAAGCCACTTGATATCTTTTGATAACAGACTTAACAGTGAAATTAAAAGAAGAATCACTCTAGCTTGTGAAAATTCTGGAGCCTATCTTCCATTTTGATTGACAGAAAATTAGATTTTAAAATAAAAAGAGATGTATTACATTCCTGTATATTACCAACTTTAATTTACAGGTGCCAAACTTAGTCCTTAATGACAACACAAATATTGCAACTATTCAGGTGCCAGAGAAAGATGGAGAGGAAAATCCTCAACATCTCTTTGAAAGACCATATAATCTGTAAGGAAATAGAAAACAGGGCCAAGATGCAACAGAACAAGCAGTGGTACAAAAATGGAAATGGGGTGGCCATGTCATCAGGCAGCAGGATCATCAGTGGTTATAAGCTACTACGGTAGGGGAACCACAAACTGGCTGGCATTATCCTGGTAGGCAACGCAAAGATAGGAAGACAGCTTCAGGGAGGCAACTGGCAACAAATGGACGAAGCTAGCCATATGGAGGTCATAAGTACTTCAATTGAACTTTTTTCAATAGCTGAACCTAAAAACTGCTCAGTGAAAAAAAGAAAAGGGTAGAATTTAGGAAGTTTAGTTTATAAGGTCATGAATAGTTTGATAATGACACAAACTTTCAGTAATTTTTATTTTTTAAAATTGAAATTCAACCAATGTTTTTGTAATTGAATTATTTCAGTAATTTCTTACTACAGCAGTCTAGTAATGAGTAAATAGTTTAATTTTTTTAAAAAATGTAGTTAATTCTAATTTAAGAAATTATTTAGTTAACCTAAGTATGGAACAATATATGTAAAATTATTGTCACATAAACCAACCAAACTGCACATACAGCTCCTCCCTGGGGACCCAAAAGGCCCTTGCACTATATTGGGTTTGTAATGGGTTGATAATAACAATGACACCACGGACTATACTTCAATTTAAAAATAGTGCCACTTTAAGGTCACGAGCTAGAAAGAGAGGGGGCATGGTATCTTCACAAGCTGGGTAGTACGGGCTGCTCAGTGTCTTTTGAAGATTTCTATCAACCCTCGCAAAAAAAAAAAAAATTAAAAAAGTAGTACATTCTAGGAAGCCATGGAGGAGGACATTGTCTTCTCCAGCCAGCTTGTGATCTTGTAGTGCCACTATATTTAAATTGGAGTACACCAAGGTAGCCATAACTGCGGAAGCGAGCACATTTACGGCCGACTTTAGTTCTGAAGACAATAGATACGTGCGTTGTCGTCGCAATTTACGGCATGTATTGACCCCTTATATGAGATATTCGGATTAATGGATCGTGTAATTTTTTGTCTTACCATACATAAATTAATTATGTGCTAGTATTTCACAACAAAAGATCTGCGAACAGCGTTTACATGATTACTTTTACGTACGTCCTACAGGGGCGCTACAATCGCAGGGGATGGGATTCGTTGCAACTTGCTGGCATATCACCAAGTATTACTGAACAATGCATACAGCTGTTTGTCGTGACAGTAGGCGTACTGTAATGGTTAGAGTGTGTTATTAAAGTAGTCTGTCTGGACTCGCACGTTGGAAATTATGTCGCCAATTGTGATAAAAGAGAATATTCGCTGCATAGAATGTTCTAAAATAAATTCAGATGGTCGCCAAGAGAGCGACAATCGCGGGCTGAAGCAGCCTGTGCCCCTGTTTACTACCGGGGAAGAATCTTTTATGAATAATTGCATTCTCGGTGAAGTTCTTGGCGAAAAGAAACGGGTAAGCGCAAAACGTTATAAATGGACAATGTTCCAAATTTTATAGGTGTTGTTGCACATTTTCCCCAAACACTAAATGTCATTATTGTTTAAAGATTGTTTAATTATTTTCATACTGTTCATGTATCTCATTCTATCACTATCGTCGTGTTTGCACCATTGTTAAGCACGTTTCACATAATCAATGAGTTTTGGTTTTACAACCATTGTCAATTTTTATATTCATGTAAAGTGATATCCACTTACCTGTTCATGTTTCACCTTTTCCTTCTCGAAATAAAGTATGGCTCTCCACTTTTTTAGTATTATGTGTTGATTAATTATCTTGCCGTGTCTGGTGTTTTGAGATAATAAGATTCACTTCAGTTACACAGATGTAAGTTATGAAAGATTAAAATATTAATATTGAGATTACTTACTTGTTTCATTGCTATGTACTATAATAAGCAGATGGTACCAGGTGTTTTTCCTAAAATATAGGGTAATTTATAGTGTTACTATCTATTTAGAATTTTTTTAAAGCCTTGACAGTTTTCAGCACCCCAATTTCCATGTTGTAATCCTATTCTCTTTTTTTTCTTCCATTTGTCATTTTTTCATGGTTTCAGTTATTGCCATGTTCCATGTCCTTCTTGGTCTTCCCCTGCATCTCGTTCGATTGGGTATCCATTCCCAGGCTTATTACGGAACCCCCTCTGATTCCAACCTTCTCATATGTATTTACCATTTTAGCTTTTTTATTTACATCATCTCTGAGGTCGTTTACACTTTCATTTTTTCCATTTCTTATTTTGTTTAACACAAAGAATTTACAACAGCTTTGCCAGATTATTCATTCCTGTTTCCTTGAAGTTTTTCACAGTACTGGATTCAAGTGTCTTGTGGCTATTTTTTCTCTTATATTTTATTTTTCACATTCTGTTCGTCTTTAGTGTGTGTCTTTGTTAGTGTGACTTCCACCATACATTCAGTCTTTTGCTCATTTATTTTATTTTCCATTCTGTTCTGCTAATTTTCTAACCATGAAAGTTACTTCATCTTCATCCTTTATCACTTGGTCGTCTGCAATAGTAGACTAAACCGAGGTCCATTACCTCTTTTCACAACCATACTTCTACCCTTTCTTTTCCATTCTTTTAGGGCTTTATCTATGTATATTTTAAGCAGAGTTGGAGTTATACAGCAGCCTTGCCATAATCCTTTATTTACTGGGAAGTCATCTGATAGACATTTTCCCAACATTCCCTTGACTTCTGTCATCTTTATAAAGTTGTTTGACTGCATTTATATATGTTGTCAATATTCCCTTCTCTTCCATTGCACCTCCCTCCCCCCCTATTCTTTTACTGGTACATTATCATAAGCCTTCTTAAGGTCTATGAAAATCATGTGAAGTTCTCTTCCTCGCTCAATGTTTTTTCTTTTGCTTATTAATGACAGAAAATATTTTCAATACTGGATATTCCTGGCCTGAAACCACTGCTCTTCTGAGTGTGACATTTGCATTTCAATTCTATTAATTTGCGCATGTCTGTACAGTCTAACCAAAGATGAAGCCTCACTTATCCTTCTATAATTATAACAATCTTTCTTACCACCTTTTTTGTAAATTGCTATAATGTATAAAAAAATTAAGTCGTTTATAGCCAGATTTCATGCTACCAACCCATTCTATATTAAATTAATAATGCACATTAAACTGTTTTTCTCTTGGTTTTATATTGAATACTTTCAAATATACGCACTGAAGTTATGTTATCACCTGTCAGATTTTTGTCGACAGGTAGCGATGAAATTCTAATGTCCAATTTTTGACCATTTGCGAGTTTATTTATGTATTTTGTCAGGAATGGCATTTAATTCTTTATATCTTACATTCTTAGCAACGTCCAATAATACGTTTTTGTTATTAAGAATTTTACATATTTATTTTGGAAATGACGTACAATATTAATAAAAAATGGTGTAGAATATGAAACATGTCTTACTTTGTAGTAAGGACTTTCATGTGAAATCCTGTTTATTTTGCAGCCTTCTAAACCGAGGTACTTGTTGGAAGCGTTTTCAAAAAAGTTACAATATTATATGCATCTTTGAACATCTGTTTTTTAAAGGTGGTGTTATTGCCCTGCAGTTTTTTTATTTTAATCTCTGACCTTTTTGGTATATGTTATGAGAGACTCGACTGTACCATCTTCGAAAGACTTTGAATACTTGCTATATTTTTTTTTAAACAAGATTTCTTACATTTTTATGGATATTAGGAAAAGTATTAATTTCTTAACAACGCACATGAAGTTAATCAAATTTTATAGGAATATAAATGTTGTTATAACTCGAGCAGCTTTGTAAATACGCTCAATTTTGTCAAAAAAAAGTTATTTCTGATTCTTTTGTATGTTAGAATGTGAATTGGGTTTGGATTGAATTTCAAAAAAAAAAAAAAAAAAAAAAAAAAAAAAAAAAAAAAAAAAAAAAAAAAAAATGTAATTTCAGGAGCAGGTTGTGAATCGGCAATTTTCTTTGGGAGAACAAAAATAAAAGCTAGTCATGCTTCAACAGCATCTACTTTCTCATTTTGTTTATTGGGTATGTAATATTATAAATTAAAAATTGAATCCATCTAATTCTCCAGTCATCTTGTGAAACACACTTCAGGGAAAAAATTGCGAAAGATACAAATTAGCAATTTTTTTAATTTCAAAGGTTGTTACCACAAAAACCTTTTGTAAATCTATGAGGATGGATAAATAGAATTAATCTACCACAATAAAAAAATATGGTTTCTATTTACTCATTTACAGATTTTAATGGAAGTGGGACTTACGCCAAATTTTTAAGCGTACTTATAAGTTTTACATTTACTAGGACTTTCCTAAACATTAAGAAACTACCATTGCCTTGGTAATGTCGAGTAGAACCTGCCTGCAGATTACCAAGTCAACCACTCGTCAGTCGACGTGCACAAGCAGGAGTGACATAATTACATAGTGTGTAAGAATTTGTGGAACCTTCCGAAATGGTCCCGATTTAACTAATGTTTCTAAAAATTTACATGAAATTATACAAAAAACTGATTGAAAGGATTGAGGAAAGTATATAAGAAATCCCTCAATGTTGAAAGTCTACGTCTGGTTGGGAAACTGCGAAAAATTCAGGCCTCTTAACTACCCACTTTTTAATTTTTGATCGCTACCACTGCTAGATATGGTGCGATCAAGCGACGTCTAGCGTCACCACTGAGAGACACGAAATACCATGAGATATTCCATCGTAAAGACAAGGCCTCGCGCGACAAATAAAAACTCAAGTGTACGATAAAGCTCGATTTGTTCCTTAATGGCATTTTTTACATTCAAAATATATTAGAAATTTTAAAACTTGCATGGCAATCTAATTGTGTAATCGTAAATTTATTTATTTACGTCAAAAACAGTTAAAAACTGTGTATGACATGCTATGGGGAGAAGTTAATTTGGAGTTACATTTAATTGACGATACAATCATTTCATTTTAATTGACGTATACAATCATTGACCTACATCGATTTAATATAAAAATATCTCTTGTCATACTAATTGCGACGTATCTCCAGTAACTGACGAATAAGCAAAATAAATGAACAGATTTAGTTTTACGGGGTTAAAATGTTGCCCGAAATGATCTGTTTTCCAACCAACAAACTGCCAGACATAACCGGTAAGTAGAGATCCTAGGGAGCAATAACAGCACAAACGTGAGTCGTTCGCGGTCACACTGTGGTCAACCCTTGATACAGCGACCATTGTTAGCGAAAACAGACCGACCAATACTAATAAAATTCTTTATTTTTTGCTTTCTTGCCCTTACGAAGGTTGTGCTTCGTGCTTATTGCCGGGCCTGGCAACGAAAGAGTGGATAAATGCTGTCACTAAATATAGGGAGAAAATCCTGAAACTCATGGTGTATGGGTCCATGGTACCGAATCCATGTTTTGTGGGTCCTTGATACCGAAAATCGATTGACGGGAAAACGTCTGTCCGTCCGTTCGTCTGGTCAACACTAGTGCCGAAACCGTTTATCCGATTTTTTTCAAAATTACATTCCCCGATCGAACTGAATGAACGCGAGGCTTTAGACGTTTCAAACGGATATTTTGATTTGGCCCCTATCTCAGCCTGTACACCTAATTTAATCGAAAGCTTAATGGGTTAATTTAAAAATTTTTCCAAATTCCTTCACTACCGGCGTGTCTTTAAGACGACCCTCTCCTTAAACCTGTCTGTAATTGTGAGATTGTGTTTTTCCGCCTATTCATTCAGTCGACAGTTGAGAATGTTACAGAACAATTTGTTTTGCGCTTGTAAAAGACTAATGCCACGATCATTTTCTGTGCAATCCGTATCTCCTTACTTCTCAAACACCGTTTGGAGGATAGCAGTACTCCACGTTTCGCGGTACGATCCGATATCAACAATTCTATTATACAAATTCAGAATACTCACTGGATCTATGTTCCACAATTTCAAAATATCTTCTTCCGGAATGTCCGTGTCGTCGACTTTCCTACTGTTCTCGACTAGGATAGCCCTATTCACGCCACGTTATAGGTTCTTCTAATTCAGGTACACGCCAAGTGAAAAAATCTGCCCCAATGTGTGTCTCCGTATTACGAGCGTCCGTCAAAAATACTGGACATGCTCACCTGCTGAAATTACATTACATGCATTAATTTTACTATGCAGAGATCTGATAATGTCCCAAATTGATTTTTTCTGATCGTTCCTTACAAAGCCTATATTCTTACTGACTCATTATCCTGCCAAGACTTCGATTTCTTAATCGTGGCCCCCATACTGCGTACATAATGAGTATCTATTTCTCGCTTTAGCAGAGTCCAAGCTTCTAATTTTTCTTTAAGATAATATTGCTTCGTGCCTGCTTTCGCGACACGCCTCGCTAAACCATTCCATGGGTCAGTTCATTACTTCCTCTTTCCCATCCCCATATGGACTTCCTTGC